GGATGGAGTGCGGGGAGAGAGAGAGTGAGGGTGGGGAGGAGGAGGGGGGGAAAATGAGTCCATTGTACTCTTAAAACTTTGGGGAAAGGAGATGACAGCTATATAATTCCATTTACCAGGCGCTTGGGGTTTTAATGTGGAGGTGACGGGGAACTCTTTCTGCGTTTAGTGCCTCCATATCTTCTAAATAAAAGATCTGCAGAGCTGATAGCGGGGGTATAGTGCTGGCTTTAATAATCTCCAAGCATTAGACCGAGCCAATATGTTCCCAAGTCAGGAAAGGTCCCCCACTGAACGCTCGTAAATTAAAAAGTGCAGGAGCAGCTCCCAAAGTTCCTCGATTAGAAATGCAAAGGCTGCAGTCTGTTTTCGGGGGTGGGGGGTGCACGATCCACTGTGGTGGGTGGGAAGGGGGTGGATAGGTGCTTGGAATGGGAGAACTAGATAGGAGCCAGTTCTTGATCCTGGGGGTGCTTCCAGACAACCTGTTTGTTGGGCGTTCGTCCTGATTTGCTTGCAAGTAGATCAGCGTGGGTGGCGCTGTGGGTTAAACCACAGAGCCTAGGGCTTGCTGATCAGAAGGTCGGTGGTTTGAATCTCAACTATGGAGTGAGCTCCCGTTGCTCGGTCCCAGCTCCTGCCAACCTAGCAGTTCGAAAGCACATCAAAGTGCAAGTAGATAAATAGGTACCGCTCCGGCAGGAAGGTAAACGGCGTTTCCATGCGCTGCTCTGGTTCGCCAGAAGCGGCTTAGTCATGCTGGCCACATGACCCAGAAGCTGTACGCTGGCTCCCTCGGCCAGTAAAGTGAGATGAGCGCCGCAACCCCAGAGTCATCCACAACTGGACCTAATGGTCAGGGGTCCCTTTTACCTTTACCTTTAGATCAGAAGATGCAGGCTGTTTAATGAGCATCCATGCTGATTTGCTTGCAGCGCGGGTGGCGCTGTGGGTAAAACCTCAGCGCCTAGGACTTGCCGATCGCATGATCGGCGGTTCGAATCCCCGCGGCGGGGTGCGCTCCCGTCGTTCAGTCCCAGCGCCTGCCAACCTAGCAGTTCGAAAGCACCTCCGGGTGCAAGTACAGTGGTGCCTCGCAAGACAAAATTAATTCGTTCCGCGAGTTTTGTCGTCTTGCGATTTTTTTCGTCTTGCGAAGCACGGTGTCGGGAAAGTTTTGGAAAAGCTTCAAAAATCACCAAAGTCTTTAAAAACCTCAAAAAGTCTACCACACCGCGTTCTATGAGTTGCTCCTCGAAGTCAAGTCGCAACTGTATTAACGGTGTTAAGAAAAAGGAAACAAACTTGCAAGACGTTTCCGTCTTGCGAAGCAGCTCAAAAAACAAAAAACCCTTTCATCTAGCGAGTTTTTCGTCTTGCGAGGCATTCGTCTTGCGGGGCACCACTGTAGATAAATAGGGACCGCTTACCAGCGGGAAGGTAAACGGCGTTCCGTGTGCTGCGCTGGCTCGCCAGATGCAGCTTGTCACGCTGGCCACGTGACCCGGAAGTGTCTGCGGACAGCGCTGGCTCCCGGCCTATAGAGTGAGATGAGCGTACAACCCTAGAGTCTGGCAAGACTGGCCCGAACGGGCAGGGGTACCTTTACCTTTACCTAAATAGACAGTGTTTAGTGTTTAGTGAAACCCTGGAGAGCTGCTGCCTGTTAGCATGAACAGTACTGAGCAAGATGGGGCCTGTGGTAGGGCTCACTATTAAGGCTGCATCCTACGTTTTGAAGTTGCATCAATGGAAGTGCCATCCCACACTTTCCGGTATGTTCCCTCCCACCCCCAAATTCCTTTCCTTACTGGAAAAAGTCTGACCTTTTGCAGAAGCAGATTTGTTGTGCAGGAGCTCAACTTTAATTGCGTAACCTGAATTTGCTGTGGTATGTGACTGAATCTCACTCAAAAACAGAGGCAGCCTGGAAGTGCCCTGAGTGGTGGTCAGGATCTGGTGGGAAATGTGTCATCAAACTGCTCAGGAACAGAGATCTCAATGCGTCTGTCAGATTCAACATATATGTGAGTGGGGATGTGCCCAATAACTCCATGGAATGCCCAGGAGTTGTGTTTAATTTTCAAAAGAGAGGAAGCTTTAAAAAAAAATGAAGAAAATTAAAAATGAAGGGACTCATTAAAACTAATAATAAACAGCTGTTAGAGTTCTCTTTTCTGCTGCAAAACCCCATAGAGCAATCTTGCTAATTTAATTGTATATTGGTTTGTTTTTGTCTTAAATTTATGTCAGTTCTATATGTTTTGCTCAGCGTATGTTGGAAATTGTATGGTTTTGGTGTTGTTTTTACAGGTTTGTGACTGTATAATAAAGTTGTTGCTGTGGTTTTATTGTTAATTTCAGAAGAGAGGAAACTTTCTAAGAAGTAAGGGGACATGGGCCAGAAGTATCAAATATATTTTTAAAGGTGCTTGGGGATTGTTTTAAAACCTCCGCAATAAAATACTTGGGTAAAAAAAATGTACATTTCTAATCTGCAATGTACAAACAAATCCATGAGGATGCCAGTGTGGTTAATGAACAGAATCAAGGAAGCTATAAAAGGCAAGAAGGCTTCGTTTAAAACGTAAAAGTCTTGCCCAAGCGAGGAGAATAAAAAGGAACATAAAGTCTGGCAAAACAAATGTAAGTTGACAATAAGGCAGGTAAAACACAGCGACAAGTTTGAGCAGCTTTTTGTTAAAAACATCAAAACAGGCAATAAAAAATGTCTTTAAATAAACCTGAAGCATTAAACTAGCCAGGGAGATCATGGGGGCCATGAGATGTCAAAGGTGCAAAAGGATGTCAAGATGTTTACACGCGAATTTGTTTTTTTGAGGGAGGGCATCAGATAAAGGCGTTGAGAGGGAGAAACTTGCAGAGCTTAATTGCCAAATTAAAAAAAATTAACCCGTCGCTAGATCTGGGCAGCATACCCCTGAGAGTTCTTAAAAGAGCTCAAATGTGAAATTGTTGATCTTCTAACAAAACAGCCTAGTTTCCTTACCTTGAAAGTAGCCAACACAACAATTTTTGCAAAAGTATTGGGGGGGAATCTAGGAAATTACAGGCCAGTTAGCATAACTTCTGCCATTTTTTAATTGGTAGAAAATATTAATGTTGGGATACTTCAACCAAGGGTAGGTGACCTGTGGCCCTTCTGGGTGATCCAGTTAATAAAAGACGAACAAATCAAGATTAGTCCTCATTGCCATATAACTTCCCCGCAACCATATCAGAACAAATCCTCAGTGAAGACTGAACATTGTCTAAACCTCCACATAAGCTTTGTGCAAGCAAACCCAAGACAAAAGCTTAACATAAACTGGGTGTCTGGAGGAGCATAGTTAAAGGATATGAACAGGTCCCTCCATCCCTGGACGTAGGTTTAACCACCACAAACAGCCCCCAGAAAAAACTGGACTGCATTTTCACTAAGAAGAGTGACTGAAAAGAAAAATCAACGCTCAAATGCTTGGGAAAAGGGAAGCATGTTTGCCGGACTCCAAAAACATGTCAGCAATGGCTCCAGGCGATTGGGGGGGGGTCATTCCACAGATGGGGAGGGGAGCATTGCTGGAAAGGCCTGTTCCCTTGTTGCCATCCTTTGGGAAAGGGCTGTAGCCCAAAATATGTGGAAGGCAACAAGTTGGTGAAAGCTGGACTAGTTGGCGAAGGCATTCCAATCCCAGTTTAACTTCGATTTTCCTTATCAGAGAAATTGAGGATTGTTCAGGAGAAAAGAAGCCCTTCCCGAAACACTGTTCTCCTGTTGTTTAAGGGTACACACTTCTTTTCTTTTCTTTTTAAAGCCAGGACCTGCCTTTGTTATCAAGTTGCCATTATTCCACCATCTAATAACTTTTAATGGGCAGGGCAGAAGTACTGATCGATGAGGCTGAAAGCTGTTAGGAGCTGTTCAAGGCTCAATTGTAGATAATTGGACTGGAACTTTTAACTCTTTTCTTTCTTTCGGCCTTAATTCCTTTTCTTTCTTTCTTTTCTTTTCTTTTTTTGAGGGATTTGAATGTGTGTTGTTCATTCCTGGTTTTTGAGGCAGGGTTCAGATTCTTCTTAAGCTGAGTACAGAGGCGGCTGCCACTGGACTGCCGCCATTTTGCGCGTGGGGTTCAGCGTCATGCTAGCAAATTCAAGTCGCACAATTTGCTTGGATTTGGAGATCTTGGGCAATGAGCCTGCTTCAAAAAACAAAACAAAAGCAGGACTTTGCGCAGAACGGAAAGCAACCGGAAAGTGGGATAGATGTTGCTTCCTGCCACACTCTGCAACTTTCCCACAAACTGATCAAGATGAATACTCACTAAAAGGGTTGTCTGGACATGCCCATTGGCTCTACAGGCATTGTGACTCAGCCTCCCCTTTTTAGCCAGAAATTGCTGATCCAGAGGCTCTAACTGGATAAGGCAATTTATTTCATATTTTTCTCTTCCATCCTTACACCTCTGAAAGTCATCTCCTGTAATTTCTTCTCCCCACTATGCACATTTAACCTGTCCCTTATCTGCGATCCTCTCCGCACAAACTTCCAGTTTCTTTCATCCCTCCTTTCTGCCCCCCCTTTTTAAAATTGCTCTATTTGTCCTGTAACAGCTTTCCTTTCTCATCCTTACAATTCCCAGTTATCATCACCATCGTCACTATTAAAATTAACTGTTTTCTTTCCTTCTGATTTTGTTCAATACTGTCACTGGTCCTTTTGCACTAGAGAGAGACCTTCCTCTTTCTCTTAATCTCTTCTCTTGCCCGCACCCCTGAACTCCTCTGCCTCCTGCCCCCCTTTACTCAGCATGCAGGGAGTTAACTGGTGCTGGAGTTGGTCCAGCCACAGAGTCTACCGCTCCAGCAGGGGGCAGCAGTGAGCGGGGTGCTGTGGAACTGAAGCCCACAATTGGTCCCTGGCCGGCCATTATAGAAACAGAGGGAGAGCTTAGAATCATAGAGTTGCAAGTGGCATCACCTGCAATGCAGGAATCTTTTGTCCAACCTGGGGATTGAATCCACACCCTTGAGATCAAGAGTCTCATGCTCTACCGACTGAGCTATTACTGATTATCATCTTCCTAAGCAACTGCTCTATTCTGAACATAAAAATGGAAAGCGTAATGCTGGTGGTCAGCAAAAGAGGTTTAAAGATTCTCTCAAGGCAAATCTTTAAAAATGCTGTATAAACACCAACAACTGGGAAACACTGGCCTGCAAGCGCCCCAATTGGAGAACAGCCTTTACCAAAGGTGTCATGGGCTTTGAAGATGCTCATACTCAGGACGAAAGGAAGAATGTGCTATGAGGAAGGCACGCTTGGCAAACCCTCACCGTGATCAACTCCCGCCCGGAAACCAATGTCCCCACTGTAGAAGGACATGTGGATCCAGAAATGACCTCCACAGTCACTTACAGACTCACTGTTAAAACCATGTTCATGGAGACATCTTACTCAGCTTCGAGTGATTGCCAAAGAAGAAAAAGACGCATTGCTATTTATTAATTTGTATCCCAATTTGTGCCCAGATGGCTTCTAAGCAGTTTCTAGGGTTGCCATATTTCAGAAAGTGTAAATCCGGACACAAATTTTTAAGCTATTTTTAAGGGAAATTGGCAAAAACGGGACCGCTGACATGGGTTGCCGTACGTCTGAGTTTCAGTAGGGCACTTTTGGTGGTCCCACATGCGCCCGAGGTTTCACTGGCTTTTACCAAGCAATGAATCCTTAGCGTATAGGCCCTGTCCTGTGGCACTCCTTGCCGATTGGCAGAAGCCACCTCCGCCTGGTTTTAGATGCCTTCTGGACATTACGACATTCAGTCAGGTCTTTCGAACCTGAGGTGATTTTGCCAACCATCTCTTACTGATGCATGTGCTAGGGTTTTTTTAAATTGTGTAATACTGTGTTTTTAGCCTTTACATTGTGATCTTTTATATGAGTGTTTTGTAGATATTTAAATTTTTAAAAATGAAATCAAATACACACTTTCGTAATTAAAATAGATGATAAAACAATCCCGATTAAAATAGCACAGCTACAAAATAGGGGTGATTCAGGGAAAGAGCTCAAGGGAACACCTATGCTAAACAGGTGTATCTTCAAAAGCTGGCAGAATGCCAGTAGAGTTTAGACAGAGAAATAAATAGAAAGTGGGCCTAAATCTCCGCCAGCCACCAACAAATCCCAGTGCTGCTGGGAAGCAAACTAGAGTTGTTGCAACCGTTTATCTGTAGACGGTGTGGACGGTTCAGGTTTACTGCTGCTGACAAGCCGGGGAAATGGCTTGATATATATACAGTCTGCTCAAATCCAAATAATTTATTATACGGTCCCAGACCTGCTAAAACAGAGGATACAAAGAATAAAAACATAGGCTTGTTTAAAATATGATACAATACAAAGGGTAAAACATACACGTATTTAGAATACTATACAGTAAAAAAAAAAAGATACAAAGCTAGGATACAAATTGCAGTTAAAACGAGAGTGCCAGCTGAAGATACGAGACCTTTGAGCAGAGAGAGGCTGTACTTAAGATACTTATTTGTACCAGCCAATAAATACTTTGGGGACTGTTCTGGTGTCCTTCCTGGGTGCTCCTCACAAGGGGGCAAAGTAATCTCTCTGTGAAGCTTATATTCAAAGGAGACATGGCCCATCACCCCAGGGACACAGATGATCCTTGTTTGGGGACACCAGATAACGCCCTTCCAGTATTGCAGAAGAGAAAGAGAGTTAGATCTGGCCCTAGAAAAGGCATGGCAATACTTGGGGATAGTAAGATGATCCAGATATGTAGCACATGTAGGAAATTCAAACGTTAAGCCCAAATATATTGGAGGACAAGTTCTACAAGCACTTGATAAAGAGTATTGGCAATCAATATCCTTGATCCGTTGTTCCAGAATAGATTTTACAACAGAATTATCTTGTGTGCAGAGGAAACCCATAGGGAAGCCTAATGCATGCAGTTTAATAATAAAACCTTTAAACCGTAGCTGATAGTAACATCTTCTTGTAAGAAATAAAGATAATCTGAAGTTGGATCAGCATAAGCAACTTTTTACCAATATCGCAAGGCACGGGACCAAGCCTTGAATTCTTTGGATGTGAGTCCAGCCTCAAAGCCATGGGCCAGCAGTTAACACACATCTTGGCATTCCAAAAAGTTTGAAAGAACATTCTCAGCAATTTAATTAAATCCCTGGAACCCTATACAGCAGCTGAAACAAGACTTTGGTCTTACATACTTTTACAGCAGCAGGAATAAATTGTGCTCTCTTAGTAAAGAAAAATGGCTGTACAGCCTTAACAGTATTCTGAACTGCTTGCCCTGCCCCCCATGTATGGGTAGCCCAGGAGAGAGTGGAAGAAAACATAATGCCCAGGTCTCTAAATTTCTTGACTTGGGTCTATACGCTGACTATCATCTGTTATCCACTTATTAATTGATCTGCGTCTAGAAAACGCCATGGTTTTTAATTGGTAATTTTTATTTCACAAAAGTTATACACCTCTTCATTGCAAAAGAACCTCAGAGTAGTTTACAAAGTGATTTAAGGCCTGTTTTGGACAGTGGGACTTCAGTCGCTGCCAGTTTTGGTACATGACAGTCAGGTACTAAACAGTTCCCAATCAAGCTGTTTAAATAAAAATTAAATAGTGTAGGAACTAATATTCAACCCTGGCAAATGCCCTTATTGGCAAGGATAGGTTTTGTCAAATTACCCTGCAACCCACATCTTATTCGAAGTGTAAGTGATGAAAAGTTGTCTTTTATCAATGGTGGTGTGGGACTTGGTCCATAGTCCGTCTCTTGAAATTGAATCAAAAGCTGATTTCAGGTCTATAAAGGCAACAAACAAACCATATCCAGAAGGGTTCATATATCTCTTTGCCAGGTGGCTTAAGACTAGGCAATAGTCAAGAGGTGATTGGCCCTTCCTAAAACAGGCCTGTTCATTGGTACTGTTGCCCTTTTAAAACCCTGTTTTGGAGATACAGATAAATAAACAGCTCCTGCCCTTCTTCCTTTCCTCTTTTCCCAAGTGCGTCAAGATGCTTTGAGCAAATGAAATGCCCGGCTAATGCTGAATCTGGGTGCCATATTGACTAATGTATTTACTTGACAACAGAGGCATGGTGGATCCAGCTGCATTTGAAAGCCAGTTGGTGGATGTTGGCTCACCTAATTTGGGTGGGAGATAGATGAAGGATTTCTCTCCATACAGTCTCTCCTCTAGCTTCACCTCTAACCTCACTGAAGCTGAAGATGGTTTGGAAGAGAGATCACTGCTTGTGTTGTGTAGCCAGTGTTCGAAATTCCCCAAGCGCCAGGCATGTTTTGCGACTGGTGCGGGTCCAATTGCAAAGCAAGTGAAGATGTCTTTTCACCAGATGTGGCGACTGACATCTCCATCATGTGGTCAGCCAGCCAATTTGTGGAGATATCGATGTTTTATTCTGGATTGTTTTATTTGATGTTTTCATGTGTTGTAAACCGCTTTGAGGGTCTTTTTCTTTAAAATGTAAAGTGGTATAGAAAGGAAATGAAATGAAATTAAAATTAATAATAGTAGTACTAATAATAACAGCAAATTTCATTGCAAAAAAAATAGCCACAAGACAGTCTGCCGTGGTGACCATAACCTACATTTAAGGTGTTATTTAGTGATTAGCTTATATATCTGAGTTTCTAACACCAGTATGTATGCTCCATTTGCTGCTGCCTCCAGCCAAACAGGTTGGGCAGGGTTTTATATTCAAAAAATCTATCAGACCCATTTTACTGGGGGCAGGGGTGGTGATGTCTGAGAGAAAACAGTAATTCTCAATATGGGCAATCTGAGGGTTATGAATGAAAGATTGTTTAAATAGTTTGGATGCAAACAAAGGATTTAAAAGCAGCGGGTGGGGGAAGTCAGTATTCATAGGCCACAGGCCAAATCTCTCCTTTTGTGATTATCCGAGAGGAGACCCGTCAAAACACTGGGAGGCCTACAAATACTAGTCAGGGAAAGGCTGAGGTGAGAGCAATGAGGACTCCATCTTTAATTATTTGCCCTGAGCCAGCTGTGTTGCCTGGGGTGGAAGCGGCCTGTCAAATCTCCACAGGTTCTAGGCCAGTGGAGGGGGAAACCTGAGGGCTGGATGTGGCCCTCAAGGCCTTTCTGTCCGGCCCTCAGGATTTTCCCCAGACCCTGCCCTCCATTCTCTGCTCCTCACTCTCTTTGCGACTTTCGCCTGACAGGAATGTTGTCCTTGAAGTGTGGCGAGGCCTCTGACTAGTTGGCTGGAGGATGGAGAGATGCGTATAGAAACCTCTGACATTTTCATGGCTTGAATGTTTTCGTTGTATTTTTACATTCTGTCGGAAGCTGCCCAGAATGCCTGGGGCAACCCAGTCAGATGGGTGGGGTACAAATAAATTATTATTATTCCACTGTTCAAAGATCAGAGCCACACCAGTTGCTATGCTCACTTTAGCCTCTGCCCTGCCCACCCCAGGCATCCCCACGCTGTGAAGATTGTTTGTGGTTGAAAATGCAGCCCTCAGTCCGAAGACACCTCTTCATTGTTCCTCTAGTCCAGGAATGGAAAACCTTGGGCCCTCCAGGTGTCGCTGAACTTATTTATTCATTACATTCATATACAGTGGTACCTCGGGTTAAGAACTTAATTCGTTCCAGAGGTCCGTTCTTAACCTGAAACTGTTCTTAACCTGAAGCACCACTTTAGCTAATGGGGCCTCCTGCTGCCACTGCACTGCCACCACACGATTTCTGTTCTCATCCTGAAGCTAAGTTATTAACCCACAGTACTATTTCTGGGTTAGCAGAGTCTGTAACCTGAAGCGTCTGTAACCCGAGGTACCACTGTACCACTTTTATCTTCCCAGGATCTCAAGGTGGCGTACATGGTTCTCCTCCTCCCCGTTTCATCCTCACAACACCCCTGTGAGGTAGGCTAGGCTGACAGGTGGTGACTGGCCCAAGGTCACCCAGCGAGCTTCATGGCTGAGTGTGGATTCGAACCCTGCTCTCCCAGGACCAAGTCCAACACTCTAACCATTACGCCACACCGACTGCGACTCCCATTAGCCCCAGCAAGCGTGGGCAATGGCCAGGGATGGTTGTAGGGCAGAAACGTCTGGAGGGCCACAGGTTCCCCACATCTGCTCTGAGGCCTAAGAGGAAAGGGGCGAGGGACAATGAGGCACCTGCCTCTAATAATTCAACTCGCGCCGGTTGTGTTTCCTAGTGTGCTTTTGTTTTGGTCAGGAGTGTGCGGAGGCGTCTGTGGTTGCGCACGCATGTTTCTCTCCCTCCCTTTTTGTTTTGTTTTGTGCGATCTAAATGGAACCAGGTACATAATGCCACCTTCCCCACCCCCTCCCACCCGCCCTGCCTGTTGGAAAGACTCGCGCCATAAAAATAACAAATGGCGTGTATTTGCTCGAATGTCAAAGTTATGAGTTTATTTTGTAATGATGTGCTCCTGCCTTCATGAGGTAAACTGGCCGTGGCAGAGGTGTTATTAGTAATATGGACCCAGCAGAGCAGAAAGCCGAGTGACCGAGAGATCAGTGTATCAGTCAGCGAAAGGGCAAATGGGAAGAGACAGCGGGAGAATGGGAACAGAGCTGTGCGGCGCTTGGGCTGAGATTAGAAGAAAGGAGCAGTGAGAGAGAGGAAGAATTGAGAGACCGGTGGTCAGAGGCTCATTTTAATGGACCCCTTCGAAAGAAAACTGCCAGGGAGGGGAAAGAGTTGCACCTGTCGGCGTGGTTCGAAATTGTTGACTGAAAGGTGTGTGTGCAGGCACACAAGGTCTCATTTTCAGACTTGCTCCTTTCAAGGCCTCTCCTGCGTTGTATGTGTCTTTGGCTCTCTGCCACAGTTTCACAGTTGTGCCATGCAAAAAACCACAGCTTTTGTTATGTCTGTTTGGATGCCAAAGCGAGTTTCTGGTCCCTAGAGGTAGGAAGGTGTTAAGCTTCAAAAGTGCATGGATGAAATCTCAGCCCTGAATTGGAGAGGGACAGAGAGGAGGAGGAGGAGGAGGAGCAGCAGCGGGTAGAAGATTTCGAGCATTTCATGGAAGCATAGAATTGTAGAGTTGGAAGGGTACCTTGTGGATCAATTCTAGTCCAACCCCTTGTAATGCAGGAATATGCAGCTGTTGCAGATGGGGATCGAACCTGCAACCTTGGTCTTATCAGCACCACGCTCTAAGCGACTGAGCTATGCAGGCTGAGCAGATGGGAGGGGTGTCCAAGAGCCAGCATAATTCTTTGCTCCCTCCCCATGGCTGACATAAGCAGAATAAATAATGCAAAATAAACAAACACATTTAAAAATAAGGTTATCCACGGATGATATTGGAAGCACCATGGATTGTATTGGAAGTGTGCCTCTGAATACCAGGAATCGCAAGTGGAGAGAGCTGGTGGCTCATCTGGTCCTATGTCTTCTTCTGTCCTTGGACAACCAGGTGCTCCTGAGGGAAGTCTGAACAGCAGGGCCTGAGGACAGCAGCAGTCTCCCCACTTGTGATTCCCAGCAACTCGCATTCAAAGGCACAGGGCCTCCAGCCGTGGAGGAACATAGCCAGTCTTCTGCAGCTGTTAGCTAGTCTTCTGCATTTGGTTTGTTTTCCAGCTGCTCTTTCCTCATTCCTTTGTGGCTTGGTGAGTAACTGGGAGTGGCTAAAATTGACCAAGGTTAAGAAAAGTTCGTAAGTCAACAACAAACCATTCAGACTATGGTTTCTTGCCACTGAACAAGCCACAGATAAGCCACTGGGCAGGGTTTGATAAACCATTGTTTCGGGTTGTGTTGGGGCCAAAGAAACCATGGACGGAAATGACTGGCAGAATCCGTGACCAGGGAGAAGAGTCGGTGGAAGAAGATTGGAAGAAATTTAAAGACTATTTACAGAAATACTATAAAATTAATGAATGTTAAATTGAGGTCTGATTGAAAATAACTGGTATTGGCAAAAGCCTTGCGTTTAAGAGCATGGAATATTTGATTGATAAGGTTGTAAAAATATCTATTTATAAATAGATTAAGTTTTTGAGTTAAGATAAAGGAAGGAGGGTAAGGATTTGCTGAAAGGAGTTTTTAAATGGAAATACAAGTGGGGAGGTGCGGGGAAGTCAAAGAACTAAGGAAAGATAAGAAGGTTAAATGAAAGTATAAATTTTTAAATTTTTCTGTTTTTTCTTTCTTATGGTTATTGTTATTTTTTGTTTTCTTTTTGTCATTGTTATTGTTGTTTTTTGTCTTTGGAATTTTTGTATTTTTTTATTTTTTTTGTAAAACTAATAAATATTATATTAAAAAAAAAAAAACAAAGAAACCATGGAAAAGCAAATGCTGCAAAAAGTTCTGAAAAAGAAGAGATGGGGAACCTGGGACTTTCTTAGATCCGCTGTTGTCACAATAAACTATGGTGTGTTGTTGCATCTGGAGACTGCCATTGTGTTGATATTTTCACACGGACATTTTTATATTGCATTCTGTTTGCCGTTCTAATGTTAGCCACCTTGATTGGCTCATTTTTCAGAAAGATACAGATCATACATTGGTTTTAAATCAGTGAATACCAGGCTTTGGTCTGGAGGCCCGTGAAAGCACCTAAGCAGGTCTGGGTCTGGCCTGGATGGGAGACCTCATGCCATTCCTAGAAGCTACTTTGGGTCCCACGATGGAAGAAAGTTGAGATATAAATGCAATAAAATAAAATACAGTGAATACTGGAGAGGGGACTTCACTGAAAACAATTGGAGTTTCAGGAATGATTTTTTTATATTTTGTGGTTAACAAAAAAAATCTAATAACGAGCACATGGTTAAAAGGTATCTATCTTTCCCTACCCCCTGCTTTCAAACAGGTGCTTGGAAGAGAGGTGTACACCTCCAACAACCAGCTGGGTGGGATCCAGATCATGCACAACAACGGGGTGACCCATAGCACAGTATGCGACGACTTCGAAGGGGTCTACACCATTCTTCAATGGCTGTCTTACATGCCAAAGGTATTTCTCTCCCTCCACCCCCTTTTAGCTCTTCTTGCATTGCTGTGGTTGGGTGCTTGGCTCAAGGACTGAGCTCTGGGGAAGCCACAAAGATAATCAGTGTGCAGCTTAGGGTTGCTCCTGAACAGCTAGGAGTGCCTTTTGTCAGCTACAGCTGCTTCACTAGCTATCACTGTTCTTGGACAGAGATCACCTGGCCGTGGTGATTTGCTCATTGGGAACCTCAAGAATTGAATACTGCAATGCGCTCTTAAGTGGGCTGCCCTTGGAAACTCCATGTGGTGTGAAATGCTTCAGCTAGAACAGAATATCACCAGGACATAATGCTGGTGCTTAAAAGCTTGGACTGGCTTCCCATCCACTAGTGGGCCAAGCCATATAACAACTTGGGTCCAGGACCCCTTTTGCCCTCCAAATGGGAATCAGATTATATCGCTTCTATTTGGCATGGATTTCCCCCAAGGAACCTTGGAAATTGTCATTTCAGAATTCACTTGTTACTTTGCAATATGGTTGTATTTTTCATCTTTGTTGGAAGCCGCCCAGAGTGGCTGGGGAAACCCAGCCAGATGGGCGGGGTACAAATAATAAATTATTATTATTATTATTATTATTATTATTATTATTATTATATTGTATGTTCAAGGCCGCATACCTGGCAGGGACTATTACTCAGTGGCAGGGCACATTCTTTGCCTGTCGAAGTCCCCAGTTAGCTCCTATTGGAAGGGTCAGGGGGAAGGTGATGGAATAGCCCCTTCTTTGCCAGAGACCCTGGAAACTTGCTGCTAGTTAGACAGTCCTGGGATAGATGGGCAAAGCGCTGGATGTGGTAGAAGGAAGCCCTCCTGTGTTCCTGCAATGTCTAACTGGCCAAACGTATGAGCATTTCAAGAATCTTACGTACCAACTTTTCCCTCTCCTCCTCCCCCCTTTCAGAGCGTTTTCAGCCCAGTCCCAATGATCACTGTCAAGGACCCGATAGAAAGAGCCGTTGACTTTGTTCCCACCAAGACGCCGTATGATCCCCGCTGGATGCTGGCTGGACGCCCTAACCCAGGTAGTTTAATTTCCAAAGAAAAGAGGAACTATCTGGGAAATGGTGGAAAGGGGATAATTAATCGCTGCACTATCTATCTATCATTCTATCTATCCACACACTAATAGTAAAATCACATTCAGTTGCTTTCTGTTAGCAGTAGATTTAAGCCTTCCGTATTCTACACTATTTGGAACTTCTAATTCAGTTCTCCTGCTCAGCTTGTTGGAAAAGGAGCTTGTTGTTGTTGTTGTTTAGTCGTTTAGTCGTGTCCGACTCTTCGTGACCCCATGGACCAGAGCACTCCAGGCACTCCTGTCTCCCACTGCCTCCCGCAATTTGGTCCAACTCATGATGGTAGCTTCGAGAACACTGTCCAACCATCTTGTCCTCTGTCATCCCCTTCTCCTTGTGCCCTCCATCTTTCCCAACATCAGGGTCTTTTCCAGGGAGTCTTCTTTATGGTCCAGCTCTCACTTCCATACATCACTACTGGGAAAACCATAGCTTTAACTGGACAGGGAAAAGGAGCTAGGGCCTTGCAAAAGGGCTGCTTACAGGACTTACCGTTAGGTTGCAGCCCAGGTTTAGCACAGAGCCTGCAAACTTTTAAAGGAGCTGAGGCTGTGTAAGTTGCATTGCTTTTGACCTAGGAACTCAGCTGCCATAGGGCACCCTCCCTCTGTTAGGAGTGATATCCTCTCCGACTCCCGAGTGCAACGTTCTGTCTGCTGTGCGCTAATCCTGTATGTCAAGAGTGAGAAAGCTCAGGCCCAGGGGCCACAGGCAGCCCTCCAAGCCTCTCTATATGGCTCTGGGGACTCTTCCCCTGGCCACGCTCCACACCAGCCCTGTTTTGCACCCTCGAGTGTTTCTTATGTGTCCTTGAACTCTGATGACGTGTCTTGTGAGCATGTGCAGAAACCAGCCTGCTGTACAAAGGTAAAATTTACCTTTGTTCCATCCCACACTCTTTGCTTCTGGCCTGCTCACCCCTAGGAGGTTGCCCCAGAGGGCTGAAAAAGGTTCCTCAGCCCTGCTATATACAAATACTGATCTTATTATTTGACACCATCCCTCTGGAAGAGGGAGAGCTGGCAGCAGGCTTAGGGGCACCCCAAGGTTTGCAGAAGCACAGAAGTACTTTGGGGTAGGGGAAAGCCCTGACGGGGAAGCCCTGACTGTGAGGACTGAGCATACCCAGTGGTCCTGGAGTGCTGACTAACTGTTGAGAGAGGGGTGGAAGAAAGGGAGGATGGAATGGAGTATAATTAGAGAGGGTGTGGCTGGCTGCAACCCCAAATAGCACTCCACACAACAATGATTTATTGCAGGTCCCATGTGGTGCTGCTGCAGTAGTTAATAATAATATTATTTGAATTTATATAGCTAATGCATACTCCATAAGCCCTATAAGGTAGGCCAATATTATTATCCCATATGACAGATAATGGTACTGAGAGAGGGCAGCTATCCTAAGGTCACCTAATAGTTCACTGCAGAGGCAAAATTCCAACCAGGTCTTCCTGAGCAGCGCCATCCTTCAGCAGCTGCACTTATCTGCTGGCTAGAATGGGATTTTTTTGGCAACTTCTTTTTGGCTAATATTCCGTCCTCCCCCTGCACCACCACCCACCCCGTCATCTTGCCGGCAATTCATCTGGCTTGTCGAAAGCATGCAGGTTCCAAATTGAGTGACTTCGAGTTTTTTAATTTAGTGGAGGCGTTAAGGGGAAGCAGATGATTCTCCGCGATAAGTTTAAAGGAGAGATCTCCTAGGTGAAAAGTTAAAGCCGTTTATTAGGAGAGATAGCGCCGCGATATTCTTCAAACTGACGCCCGATGCGAGGCCCGGAATCGAAACGATCAAGCTCTGGACTCGGCGATGGAGAGATAATTTTGAAATGGATGGTCACATTTTACAGCGGGGGGCCACGGAGCCAAGGAACATTAGAACATAGTAATTTCAAGTTTGGGCTTGATAAAACACTTGCCATCCCGCTGGAGTCAGCAGAGGTTGGCTTTGCTCGGATTCCACTTTTTTAATTGCTTTTGCACTTGGCGTTACAGGGCAAGGAGTGCTTGTTCAAAATTATAGCGTTGCAAAAGAGGCTGAACACGAGAGGCCTCCCCCACCTCCTGCGTTTGTAGAGAGCCTGTGGGGGAAAGAGGCTTTTATAAGAAGCACAATTCTCCTTGCTTAAGGGCAGTGGAGGTTTCCTCCCCACCCCACAAGAGAGGGGTATGGAAGCTGGCAACACCTGCCTAGAGCCCATGTCTTCTTGGCACTGATTTTAAGCCTGTTCCTCTTCCCCACTCTGCTCTATTTGCATCCCTCCTAAAAACATATCAGGGAAGAGCCATAGCTCAGTGGCAGAGCATCTGCTTTGCATGCAGAAGGTCCCAGGTTCAATCCTGGGCATCCCCGGGTTGGGCTGAGGAAAAGACTCCTGCCTGAAACCCTGGAGAGCCTCTGCCAGTCAGTGTAGGAAACAATGAACCAAGGAGGTTCACAAACAACTGAAAGCCAGCAGCAAACAACACCCACATTCAGAATATATAATAAACTAGTCAATTAAAACAGCAGAACACAGGAGATTCAAGCCAGGAGATCAGCAAAGTGCTTGTCTCAATAGTTGCATCCAAAGTTATTATTATTTATTAAATTTGTATACTCCCCCTCATCTGTTGATCTCAGGGCAGTTCACAAGATAAAAACTTTAGCCCTGCTCAGAGTTGAATCATTGAAATCAATGGATTTGAATAACTGGGGTCCATTAATTTCAACAGGTATTTTCCAGGAACAACGTATGTTCCTGTTGAACCCGGGACCTTCTGTCTCCAAAGCCCATGCTTAGCCACAAAGAGGTGGGAGCGCCCCCAAATGATCAGTCCATGTCTTTAAGAATTGGCTCAGTCTTGCTACTGCCAAAACAGGAGGAGGAGGAGGCGGGGAGGGGGAGAGAATTCCGGTCTGATAGCTTGGCTTAAAAGAAATTTAAAATGCATACATTTTAGAAACCGGGGGAAAGCCTTGAAGAACAACCTCTTTTAATGCCTTGGCTGCCTTCTGACAAATGTTTGCCTTGTCTTGTGAGAAAGAGAAGGGGGAAAGGAACCACCCCGTAGAGTTATTTATTTAAAAGCAAGGCAAATTCCCTCTGCTCCCTGTGTCCCATCGTTTAACAGTAAATGATGCCTTCTGCTGATAAATGGACCTCTCTATGCAGACGAGCAAATTAAAGAGACAGCCACAGCGGCTGGCAGCAGGCAGACATTTTCATAGCCTTTAATATGTAACTTTAGGCGAGATTCACTTGGCACTGGCAACTTCTCTGAGAAAGTCACTTTCAGAGGTTGCATTGGGCTCCCCATGTATTGATGGCAAGGTTAAAGGTGGCCTCCTTTTTTTCTCTATCAATGCATTTGTATCCTAGTTTTCCTCCAAGTTTCTCAAGACTGTATTCAGGGTGCTCCCCTCACAATGTTGTTGTTATTATTTTGTTTATTAAATTCATATGCCGCCCTCCACCCAAAGAACCCGGTGTGGTTCACAACAGAAACATACAAAATGAGAATACCAAATACAAAACAAAAACAAACGAATAACCCCCTTCCCACAAACGCTTCTCACAACACTCCTGTGAGGTAGGATAGGCCTCAAGATGGAGACTGACCCAAGTGAGTGTCATGACCACGTGGCGATTTGAACCCTGGTCTGCCAGGTCCTAGTGTGACGCGCTAACCACTGCACCACACTGGTGTAGCTACAGCAGAGTTGCCTGGCTCCGGAGAAAACTGAACATGCTTCAATTTATACATAGTCCCGGGGGTATGAGCTGTCCCTCTTTGGCTTGTTGGTTCAATGAGACTTCCTTGGTTGGTTTGGCTGATCTCTTTGTCATTCCTTCCTTCGGCTAGACCCACAGCGGTTCTCAACCTGTGGGTCCCCAGATGTTGTTGGACTACAACTCCCATCATCCCTGACCACTGGTCATACTGGCTAGGAATGATGGGAGTTGTAGTCCAACAACATCTGGGGACCCACAGGTTGAGAAACACTGGGCTAGAGCAAGGCAGGCTTAAGTCTCATTCCCTCCATGACTTCCAATTGCGTAACACAACTTCCTTTTCTCCCCACGTGCCCCACCCCTCTGTTCCCCTCTGCCAAGTCTGCTCTGGAGGGTTGAGGGAACTCCCAGGACAGATTTGAGGGGCACACAGAGGGAAGGGAGAAGTCCTTGTGCAAATGGGATGACTTTGCAGGCTGCAACCCTAAAGCATTTTGAAAACGACGACAAAGGTGCAGTACGTGGCACCTTAAAAGATACAGCACATTTATTGCAGCATAACCTTTACCTGCACTTGAGAGTCCACTTCATCAGATGCAAGAAAATGTTATAATTCATGTGAGCAGATATGCAATTTGTATGCATTGTCTTGTGCTTTGCTTTTAATTATGTTTATTTATCTGCATATTTATAATCCGCTTCGCAAGACTCGGGACAACTTGCGCTCACTTCCACTCCTCTTGATGTTTTTCCCCCCTGCCTTTCTTTGTAGCTCAGAAGGGCCAGTGGCTCTCTGGCTTCTTTGACTACGGCTCCTTTTCGGAGATCATGCAGCCGTGGGCACAGACAGTTGTGGTTGGCAGAGCCAGGTAAGTCGTTGTTGTTTGACATTTGACATTTGTGGAGAATTTTGCATGTTCAAAGCACTTAAAGGTACATTATTTTGTTGTCATTTCTACAACAGCCCTGCACCAGGAGCTCAGTATAATTATCTCCGTACTGCAGATTGGGGCAGGGGGCTTGCTTAAGGCCCTGCTGTGAGTTTTCCAGACGGACATGAAATTAAAACTGGTTTCTGATTTCTAGGTCACAGCCAACCTTGTCAATACTGGGGTGGGTAACCTCAAGCCAAGGCGAGGAATATTCTAAATGCCTGATCACTTTGCATATATTTAATTCTAAAATTGATGGCAGTGCTCTATAGATTTTGGGGCTGGGTATGTGAGGGCCCCCCCCACTTCAAAATAAATTTCCATTTCCCCCAACAAAACAAAAAGAACAAAACCCCACAAGCAGCAGCTGCTGTCTCTTCCTTGGGTTTGGGGGGTTTTTAGTTGGAAAAACTGCGCAGGAGGAAAGGGTTTAACCCCCTCTCTCACCCGGTCGATCCTACTTTGGATCAGGATCCAACTTAATTTGTGTTTAAAAATGTAATTGTAAATGCAATTATGCATTTTGCCGTTTGTTACCAGGCTGGGTGGAATACCTGTTGGAGTGGTTGCGGTTGAAACCCGGACAGTGGAGCTGACCATTCCTGCAGACCCTGCAAACCTGGACTCAGAAGCCAAGGTAGGTTTTTTAGCTCCTAAAACATGGCATGGGTCCTTAGAGGATGCGATGCAAGCTATGCTGCTGAGGGCAGTCGTTGTTGAGGGTGGTGAAAATGTGTCTGTTTCGTTCTTTGCAAATGGGTATGAAAAGTGACAAGGTAATTCCGACTAGATCTAGCGTGGTGTAGTGGTTGAACATGTCAGACTAGGACCTGAGAGGCCAGAGTTCAAATCCCCACCTGGGCATGAAGCTGAGTGGGTGACCTTGGGCCCAGTCACTGCCTCTCAGCCTAACCTACCTTACAGGGTTATTGTGGGGATATTGGAGGAAAAGGTGGGATATAAACACAATAAATGAATAAAAATGGGACAAACTTTGGAGGCAATGAGCCATAGTGCCCACAAGCCTCCAAGTTACACAGAGCTCTTTGTTAGTAGAATGGGAAGGACTGCTTAACTTCTCAGTTAATTCTGCAACAAGACCTGACTGAAATCTGTCCTTGGGGTGACTCACATGCCCGCATGCATCCGAAGCATATCCCTTTGAAGTGATATAGTGCTGGGGGATATCTCTGACTCTCCAGCTGATAGATACCAACTCCCATCAGCCCTAGCTAGACCGGCCAATGGCCAGGGGTGATGGGAGATATATGAGATGTAGGCCAACAACACTGATGTTCTCCAGAGCAACATTTGTAGGGAGTTCACTCCTCCATCCTTCACTCACACAAAAGGAGGGGTGTATATGCAGTGGGTCTCCATGGGTTGCACACGCAGAGACCCACCACACCTCTCCCGTTTTGCTGCATGCCCTGCTTGTTTTCTCAACCCCCCTGCCCTGACAGGTTTTCCTTGATGACCCAGCAAGTCTTCAACTAGCTTTTGCGGTGTTTCTGCTGGGGTTGAATCCAGGATTCATCAAGCTCTGAGCAGACCCGTTGACATGAGTGGACAGGACCACCGTGGGTCGGTTCCATTTCCACGAGTCTGCTCTGAGTGCAGCCCCCTGTGTCTTAGCAGCTGTGGACTAAAGTAACCTTAATCTCCTTCAGTTAATCGGTTTTGGTTTTGTACTGGCAGCTTTCGCTGCTGCTGCTAATGCTGCCTTGCAGTTGATCCTTGTACTCACCTGCAAACCATTTCCTCTCACTCACCTTGCAACAGATTATCCAGCAGGCTGGCCAGGTGTGGTTTCCTGACTCAGCCTTCAAGACGGCTCAAGCAATAAAGGATTTCAACCGGGAAGGGCTGCCGCTGATGGTCTTTGCAAACTGGAGAGGCTTCTCTGGAGGAATGAAAGGTTATTGTTGTTGTTGTTGTTGTTTAAAAGTGGGTGGGGTTTTTTTCAGCCAGTGGTTGCTTTTGCCCATTGGGATTGGTGGGGTGGATGGCAGGGAACCCAACAGTACGTGAAACTGACTAATTCTCGTTTTCTACAAGGGCAAAACTGACAATGAGGAAGAGGAAGTTGATAGCAAGGGCCACCTCTGGCCTTGCTTTGAGTCAGCAGGCAGGCAAATGGATGCTAGCCAAGGGTAGACAGAGGCTGGTGGGGCAGTGCCCTATTTGTCCTCATGGACCAGCTTCCACTGTGGGGAGGAACATGTATTCCAGAGGAGAAGCTTCCTCAAAGGGCGATCACCTTGGACATTGCCCAGTGTCAGCAGATAGAGGAACCCAGGGAGCAAGTTAAGGGAGCATCTGTTGTCAATCTTCCCACACTCCTTAACAGAAACGCTTGCAATTTTGGTTTCCATGTTGGGCGGTAGGGGGAGGCGGGAGCTGGAGGGGGGCAGAGGATTAAGCAGAGAGTGAAAATAAACAATTATACCACCCCTCGGTGCGCCTAAGAACACACAAATACATGCATATATACACACACTCCGCTAAGATTTGGCTGCGCCGTGGGTAAAATGACTCCAAAATTGTGTGTAATGAGTAGGAAAAGATTGGAGATCGCTCTTGCCATGTTGAGAATTGACATTAGTAGAGGAGGAGGGGGGGGGACTCTTTACAAGTCGGCCTAGGAGGTCTAATTTAAGCCGTTGCACACACGCACACGTGTCCCCAAACACACTGGCTTTTGCGCATATATTTATCTCCATATATGTATATATAAACAAAAAATCTGTATGATAAATAAAGGCATATCGAGAGTGGGAAAGGTTTCTTTTTGCCGAATGAGCTCCGTCTAGCCGCGAGGCTATTCAACGTAATGCAAAAATTAAATTATTATTTCCTCTTTAAAAAAAAAGAATGAAGAGGACGCCTTGAATATTTAGATGGAGGGAAGCAGTTTATTTAGACGAACCGCCAGTGACCCACAACAGCGAGACATCAAGCGTGAAATTTACTCGAAATTAGCACCGGGGTCTTGGGCTCAGCGTGAATAGCGGTTGATAGGATGCAAATCCCAAAGATATTAAACCGCCTTGCTGGTAGCGCTACGGGGTCGCTCTCGGTTGGTTTTTCATGTTATACTTATTATTTTACCCACCCCACCCCCACCCCCTGGGACAGGTTATAAATAACAATAAAAAGGGGAAACGGTTACCAGAGACTTTGACCAGAATGGGGAAAAAAATGAAAATGAAAAGACCTTTAAAAACAACTACAACAAACTCTGATTACCTGCATGTTTATATCGCGGCGGAACCTGAGCGTAATGGATTTGGGAGACTCTTTTTATATGTACGCAATGGGTGTATGGCTTGGTGTGTGTGTGTGTGTGTTGTCATTTTTACTCTGAAGCTCCCTCCAAACTGCTAAGGATGATTCGAGCTTTGAGTGTTGCCCAGAATTGATGGACAGAGTCAGAGAGCAGGTGGGGGAGAGAGAGAGAAAGTGCAGTTACCCGAGCAGAGAAAAATTCCAGATGCCTGTGTTTGCCAGTGCAAACCTATAAGGTTGTTCCGGTGGCCTGGGAAATTAGACTTTTAACTTTGCACCGGACGGTTTGAAGGATTTTCTGTGGGTGGCAGAATGTTCTGAGGTCATTGTGTCAAAACTGAAAATGCTTTCCCAGCCCATCGGAGAGAGGGGACCAACTATCTCTGCTTCTGTTTTGGTTAGAGCCCCTGCTTCGCATGCAGAGACCCCCCCAGGTTCAGCCCCCGCCACCCCCAGATAGAGCTGGAGGGGAACCACTTTCTGAAGCCCCGGAGAGCTGCTTCTGCCAGTCAGGGTAGACGATACTGAGCCAGATGTCCAATAGTCTGCTTCCTACGTCCCTGGACGTAACATAACATGACATTCACTGCTCTTCCTCTAACCTGTGGCCCTCCAGATGTTGGATCACAACTCCCTGTTGGCTGGGGTTGGTGGAAGTTAGAGTCAAACAACATCTGGAGGGCCACAGGTTCCCCATCCCTGCTCTAAAATAAGCTTGTGTCCCCTTCAGTAAGTCCACCCAGCTGTACTTGGGACTTCTTCCCCAGTAGCAGAGTCCTTTACTTTCGCCAGATCTCTGCCTTTGCCTGTTAGTTTAACAGAGGGCAATGGAGGGACTGTGGAACACAAGCAAAAATGTACGTAGGAGGCAAGTCAGACCTTTGGTACATTTAGCTCAGTACTGCCCACTGCAGAGGTTCTCAGGTGGCAGTAGAGAAGATCCGTTCAGGTGGTCTGTAGGAAGGTTGCAGAACACTATGCTCACCAAAAACAAACAAACAAACAAACAAACAATGATCTGGTTCATCCATCACATTAGGAAAACAAATCTAGTTATT